AAAAAGCGCTAGTGTTTGGCCGACAATTGAACGAACCTATGAATTGCTGGCAATATTTAATATCGTGTTATATATTCCGTGAAATCCTGGAATGTGTTCAGTATTTGCATGAATTGAATCCGCAGATTATGCACAGAGACCTCAAACCTGAAAACATTAATCGCTATTAATGTACGGGATGGCAGGTTCTTAAAGTTATGCGACCTTGGTTTGGCCAAGGTGCACAGTCTCGCGGTTAGTAAACACACGGATAATGTTGGAACTGAAAAATATACGGCACCTGAAGTTATGAATGGTAGACAATATGATCATAAATGCGATATTTATAGTCTGGCACAAATTGGTTGTCAAATATTTGATGTGGATTTAGCAAGGTACATATAATACTGTATGTGTGTTAACCTAAATCCATTTAAAGGGTTTACTGCAAATAAAACTTATAATGAACACGCACAATGATTTGAGGGAAATTCTTAATATTAATAATTATATGTTTACAAATAATATAAAATACAAGATAAATATCAAATGTTCCGATATATAAATTTATATTTTTATAGTATTTATTAGGGTTACTTTTTTTTAAAAATAAGCTAGTTTATACTAGTAGTAATTAGTATAGTATAGGAGAACTTAATATTCTAAACTATTTAAAACAATGTTTATTAAATTTTAAAACGTGACCAGTTTAAGTTTTACAATTACTAATCTGTACTTTTGTCTAACATCATAGAGAAACCAGGTATTCGAATAAATGGTTAACAAAACCGGTGAAAAATTTCATAAATATACTCAACTCAATGAATTCAACTCCCGATTGGACTTTCAGAACGGAATGCAGTGAAGTGTTGGCTAAATATAAATACTAGTCTATAGATATAGGATTTTTGTACAAAAATAGTGAAACAGAAAGAATGTTAAACACATTATCCAGTAACACATTTTTCTTTAAATACTTACTAAATATTTTTAACTCAAATTCAGTACCACGCTCAATATTGCGAAAATTAAAAACTAAATTATGTTGCTAATAATTCCATTGTATGCTAAATCTAGTCCTGATGTATTTAGCAATATAAATTAATATTTGTTAATGTGATTTGAACATTTTCCATACTTAAATTAATATAGAGAATTTATTAAATTTTGTAGATACAATAAATATAATTAAAATACTAAATATAAAATAAGATTCTAAAATGTAATTAATTATAGTCAATTAATTACAAATATGGGAATTAATTACAAACACTTGAAAATACCGGCGCCCATACATGAGTGGAACGGTATTATAGGATAATACACCTCTTTTTCTTACGGCCGGCCTTTTTGGGGCCATTACTCGTCTCGGCGTCCGTCAGCTTTCGTTTACGTATTTCTTGCATTAAGTCAAAGAAAACCTATTTTTTAGACAATAGTTAGGAATATGGCTTAAAGTGTACGATAGGGTGGGCGTAGATGTCATACCCGGTCCACATTGAGTCGGGTCTTGGCCGAGGTCTCAATGTNCTCGGCGTCCGTCAGCTTTCGTTTACGTATTTCTTGCATTAAGTCAAAGAAAACCTATTTTTTAGACAATAGTTAGGAATATGGCTTAAAGTGTACGATAGGGTGGGCGTAGATGTCATACCCGGTCCACATTGAGTCGGGTCTTGGCCGAGGTCTCAATGTATGGCACTTTCCAGAGGTCTGACAGTCGGTGCGCCTCATCGAGACTGACGCGACGTCTTTCGTCTAAATCTGCTTTATTTCCGACCAAAACAAATGGGATGTTGTCGTCGCCCTTCACTCGCAGTATTTGCTCCCTAAAGGGGTCACCAAAACATACCATTCCTTTAGTAATGCGTTTATGATTTGTTTTATATTTTGATAAATTGTAAGAAATCGGAAAAA